CACACACATCAAATTCTTAGGCTTTGATTTTCTCACTCTCAAATCAATTCCTTACGAATCCACCATTTTTTCTCGTAAGGGGAGAGACCTCTTGCGCGCAGAGACAATGGGTATCTTTGTAAGCAGAGATTTCGAGCCTAATAGATTTATCAGATTTGACATTGACGATGTTACATGTTTCATACCTTGTATACTATGGATCTAACAAGAAACTTCGCGTCACTTCTCCCGTCGGATTTAGGCGCAGTGAGCAACACCGATGAATCAAAAGGTGAAGCAAACACCGTCGTGGTGAGATGCCCTGACCAACCACGAACGTAATCGGAAAGTTTCAATAGGCAAATATTTATCCATGTATTTGACGCATTATTGATGTATCCGATACATTATTGAGGTATAATTATATGTATCTAGTTTTTATCGGTGTATCTTATTAAGTGTGTATGTATGTAATGAATATATTGGAGATTTACGTATTATTTAAAATTTACGCATGTATTTGACACAATTTGTTCTGTCATGTATCCGAGTCTTGTCATATGTATTAGATTTTCTATCATGTATCGTAATATAATCATATATATTTGTTATGTTATTACAATGTATCTAACTATTTTTGTATTTATCTGAGATACATATTTTTTAATATAACGTATGAAATTGATACTTGATACATCAAATTATACATATAAAATATACATGAAATAATATTAAATCGTATAAATAGATACATGAAATTAATATTAGATCATATAAATAGATACATGAAATTAATACTAGATACTTTTATGAATGTACTTGTATCATATTCACGTATCTAAATGTTTATTTTGTTGGATACATTATCTATTGATAGTAGATACATATCAAATTAATGAATTTATTATTTTAAGAGTAATAAAACGAAATTAATCAAATTACATGACCAAGATATACATATTTTTTTTGTCTTTTATTAATAATATTAATGAATTTATTATTTCAAAAAATAATAAAATGAAATTAATTAAACATAGATACATTCCTTGATTTTTGCCTTATATTAAGGGATTTAATTAATTTAAATTTTCAGAATTAATTATCCGTGTATTTTGAAAATTCTCATTAGACCTCTAATTAAGGAAATATGTTACAACCAATTAATTAAAATAAATAAAATATGTATCTCGATTTTAAAATTTGACAAGTATATGTATCTCGCAGATTCAGACTCATATATCCTAAGCATGAAATATGGTAGAGAAAATAATATTTTAAACTATCGAAAATCTTAGTAATTAAGAACTAAACTAGTGGAATTTACGTAGTTTGTCATTTTTTTAACGCCCTCATTTGATAGGAAAAGGTTGATTAGTAGATTCTGACTAGTATTTTTATTTCTTCCTAAAAAACTGCATAAGAAACTGAGATGAAAGAATATCGACAATTGTTCAATAAATTGCATCTTTAGTCGTAGTAGGACTCTCAAATCCAGACATTGACTTTCAAAATTGTTGTCTAAATAAAAATGAACAAAGGAAAAATACAGAGCTAAAGAAGGACAAGGATATAATTGTAAAGGAAAGTTTCTAATACCTGTATAACTAATGCATACATAACTCTATCCAACTATCAAATGATCCCTTACACTCTGTTTGGATCATTGTTACCCATTGTATTGTATTGTATCGTTACTATACCTACAATGTTTGTTTTGATTGTTACTTAAAAATGTATTGTATTGTATTGTTAAATTCTGTTGTTACGTAACAATGAAAACCCCCATTTATAGAACAACCAATTTAGGGTGTGTTTCCATTGTTACTTAATTTCTTTTTTCTAATTATATCTTTACATAATATTTCATAATACTATTTTACCCTTTACCTTATATTATTTAATTCTAGTCAAACCTCCTACCCTAAAATAATTAAGGATATTTTAGTAAATTTATAAATTATAATACAGTCAAATCAAACAATAAAAATATTATTAAACAACAACAAACAATACATTCTAGCCAAACATTGTATCTACCATACAATATAGTACAATAGAGTACAATACAATACATTATGAAACAATGAGTAACAATGATCCAAACAGAGTGTTAGTGTTAAATGTTACCTAATGGAACAAAAATGTTCTTATATTAATAAATTATAGTATATCATTGTTAGAACCACAATCCTTGTTTATTTTCTTTTAAAAATCACTTTAATTAATAAATAAAGTAGAAAATATATTTTATTTCTTCTAAATCTCACTTCAACAATTAAAATAGAATAACTATGTGTAGCTTTTAAATTGATAATATAGGTCATATATATAAGATTATAGTAACTCATTATTAATTTTCTTTCCCATAACGATAAAAAAAATTCCTAATAAAATAGAAAATATTCCTATTTCGTAATCTTTTCCAAATTTAAGTAGACAAGTATTTTCTGATTAGAAAAAGAATGCATCTCAAAAATAATATATATATATATATATATATAGGATATTTTTAACCCAATATAAGTAACGACATAAATATTTTGAGTAAAATTAAGCAAGTCTTTTTTCCATTTCCTTTAAGGATTAGGATTTTAACTCTCCTAGTTCCAACAAAACACGGTCAAATCACCAAAGTTTCCTTATTAAACATCTCTCACCCTCTATATATTTGCCTCTAAATTTTTGTTTTCGTCTATTCTAAACATAAGCCATGGATGCCTCAAAACAAAATCTGAATCAAGTCATAAATTCAGTCGACAAAACTTTAGAAATTCTTCATCAGTTTTCTTCTTTCGATTTTGACGTTGCTTCTCATCTAAATAATTTTGTGTTTGAGCTTGATAATATGGCAAAATTGGGAGAAAAATGCCATAATATTAATGTGCCAATGGAAGTTCTCAACTTAATTGATGACGGAAAGAATCCAGATGAATTTACTAGGAATGTGTTGAATAATTGTATTGCCAAAAATCAAATTACTAAAGGGAAAATAGATATATTCAAGGGTTTAAGAGGACACCTATTGGAGGATCTCGAACAAGCTTTTCTTGAGGAAGTGGAAGATTACAGGCAGAGACGACGGAGTAAATTTTTTTGAAGATGTCATTTTTTTTATTGTATAATATATGTTTTACCATTGAATAGTAGGAAGGATGATGATTAGTATAAATCTTTAAGTAATTGACAAATGTTTGAAATTACACGTTCATTCAATAATTGCCATTGGTATAAGCAATACATCATATGCAATACTCAATTCTTGCTTCTTTTCTTTTTAGATCATTTTAATTAATAAATAAATAATAAAAAAATCATTCTCAATCTCCTTTTAACAATTAAAATAGAATAATCCTATATACCTTTTTCACCAATAATATAGGTCATATATATAAAGATCATGGTAACTCATTATTAATTTTCATTTACATAATGCTAAAAAAATTCCTAATAAAATAGTAAATATTCTTATTTCTTAATCTTTTACAAAGTGAAGTAGACAAGTATTTTCCACACTTTAAAAAAATCATTATTAAAAAAAAATATGTCCAAAAAACAATATATTTATTTGAAAAAAATTTATTCTTAACCCATTAAATAACAATATATAGATTTTTGGATCAAACTATTAACGACAAAAATATTTTAAAACCAATCTATTAACTGAATTCATTATCTTTCAGTTTTACATAATTTTAAAATACTTTAAGCCCTTTTCCATATATTTTTATTATTATTGTATATAAAGTTCAGTTATGACAAAAATAATATTTTAATATTGTTATGGTAAGTAAAATTAAGATTTTTTCTTAAAACCTTATGTACCTTTTCCGTTTCCTTTATGGATTGGGATTTCTCTACTATTCCTAACAAAACACGGCCAAATCACCAAAGTTTCCTTATTTAAACCCATCTCTCACCTCTATATATTTGCCTCTAAATTTTTGTTTTGTCTATTCCAAACATAAACAATGGACTCATCAAAACAAAATCTGAATCAAGTCATATATTCAATCGACAAAACCTTAGAAATTCTTCATCAGCTTTCTTCTTTCGACGTTAACGTTGCTTCTCATCTGAATAATCTTGTGTTTGAGTTTGATAATATGGCCAAATTAGGAGAAAATTGTCATAGTATTAAAGTGCCAATGGAAGTTCTCAACTTAATTGATAATGGAAAGAATCCAGATGAATTTGCTAGGGATCTGTTGAACAATTGTATTGCAAAAAATCAAATTACTAAAGGGAAAGTTGATGCATTCAAGGATTTAAGAGGGCATCTATTGGAGGATCTAGAACACGCTTTTCCTGATGAGGTAGAAGATTACAGACAGAGGCGGATTTAGGATTTTAAAAGATGGCAGATGCCACTATGTTTTTTTATTGTATAATATATGTTTTACTATTGAATAAGAATTATGTCGATTCAGTATAAATTTTTATTTATCCAATTAGGTTTTTTATTCATAAATAGACGAATAAGTATGAAATTACATGTGTCATTCAATAGTTGGTCTATGCAATACATCATAAGCAAGTGTATATCACTCACTTTGCCTTTTTTTTCCTAGCAGGTGTTTGATACGCACATTGCATTCGCGCTGGAAAGTTCCCATGTACGCATGCGTATGTTTATTAGATACACTTCTGTCAAATTTAAGTGTTTATTTGGTCATTGACTAACTTTGAGCAACAATCTTACAAATTATGCCAAGTTTAAAGGGCTATCTAGATATTCAGTGTGTGTTTTATATGTACCAAGAGAAAAAACATGAAGAATATGCACAAACAAGATAAAATAGAAACCCATGATTTGGATAAGCTATCAGATAGTATCATAGATCAAACAGAAAAAGAAGCAGCCTTTAAATTCAAGGACTATGTGAATCATGAAAATTTTCACATAAAGTCTTAATACATTGATAACCTTATTTATATATAAAAATACCAATTTCATGGTTATATTAAAGTAACTGAACTTTACCCGATATAGCATTACTATTACACTTGATTTGAACTATGATCTCCTAAATCAACCTTTTAAAAAATTTGCTTGCTCAGTGACATCTTGAATCAATTGTGTCAAGTTGAGGTAAGAGGAACCCCCTTCCTCCACAGCCCTCTTTGCCTTTTCTCCTAATTCTTTTGCTCTTTTTCTTCTCATTTCACCTTCCATTTCTTCACCCATTACTTCTTCAATCACCTTCTTAATATCATCTTTGCTTACTTGTTTTCCCAATTTTTCTTCCTCCCCAAACATCACTGGACTCTCCGTGCCCGCTTTCACTCCTGTCTTGATTACATTTACTATTAGCCTCTCATTAATGAACTGCTCGGCAAACATTGGCCAAGTGATCATCGCCACGCCAGCAGTTATACCTTCTAGGCTCGAATTCCATCCACAGTGTGTCAAGAATGCACCAACTGAAGGATGAGATAATATTAGTACTTGTGGCGCCCAACCATGGATTAAAAGTCCTTGTCCTTTAACTCTTTCCTCAAAATCTTCTTCCACTAGCCATTTCTCGAACTCATCTGACATGTGTCTAACAACCCAAATGAAGGGTCGTTTCGATGATTGTAGGCCGAGCCCTAGCTCTACCATCTGAGACGTGGAAAGGCGCGATAGGCTTCCAAGACATACAAAGAGTACAGAGGCTTGTTCCCAAGAATCAAGCCAGTTTAGGCACTTGTGCTCATCAATTGAAGCCTTGTTCCCTCTTTCAGCTTTGTCATGTTTCTCTTTGTTACAGAGTGAAACAGGGCCAATGGTCCAAA